TAATTTCCTGGATGAGTGGCCGGATACCGTTCTGACGGGCTGAGCGGTAGAACGTTACGCAATTTCGCCACAAACCCGGCATGACAATGGCTGGCATAGATCTCATAAATACCCGAGCGTGTCCGCAGCGCGGCTACTTCCTTCCCATCGACACCCTCCAGCATGTCTCGAATGTGAGTCTGGATATATCTGTCCTACTCAGAGTGAATGCTCATTCTATTCCATTGACCAGTGTCCAGCTTCACAGTAACCGTCTGCCCAGCATGCCACCCAATTCACTGACCATATCTCCGCAGATATTCGAATCCGATCAGCATCCAATGCGCATGATGACCTCCCGGTCGAGATGAGAATGTTTGCTCAGCTCCTCGTCGACGGAACGATTGTGCATCAAACGGTCCCAGTGGATGCAGAAGTTTCTCAAGGTTCGTTGAGTTGGAAACTGAGATTTGATTGCCTAGTGTGCGTGTCTCTGCACCCGATTCGTTATTGGGCTTATCCGCTGTGGCAGCCCATCTTACGCGTCGACATTCCGGTTCGCAATTATGCGGAAAACCCAAGTTAACCGAGTCCTTGGCTCTGTAGAAGTTGCCAGAGGTGAAGCACTTTCCTCTGAGGAACACAAGAAGCGTGCGTTCGCCATCCACCAGGAAAATACATCACTGATTGTTCGGTGCAGCCCTCCGTCTGCCGCTTGTGAAAGTGAACCTAGACGGTCCACTGCTCGAATTGAGCGCAGCTTTCTCAGTCTCCAGCTCTTCCAACATCCCATCCGGTCTTGATCTTACCGATATTACGGGAATCCGCAGTAAGATCTGGTTGAATATGACGAAAGAGATTCTAAATATTCCATAGTGGGTCCTGTGGCCGTCCTCGCAATTGTCCATGACCTGGACGGCCTATATGAAGCCGCAAATGGTCAAATTAACGTCGACTCCCAGCTCCTGTTGATGATGCACGAGAGAGTCCTACTCCTGTCTCCTGCAGAGGAAATGCGGGGGAGCCTCCTGGGATTACTAGGACAAATTTGGTTCATTCAGTGGACTAAATCTCAGACCATAGAAGAGCTCAACCAGGCTGTCTGTGTATTTGAGGATGCAGTCCGTGATCTCCCAATGGACACAGATGGTTTACACAATCTCGGGAATGCCCTGCTCCAGCGCATTGACAAACCATCGATGTTGGATGCCTATAGCACCGCCCTCTTCACTCGCTTCCTGCACCTTGGCACCATCGATGACCTTAACAAAGCAGTGTCGATACAGGAGGGCGCTGTCTATCTGACTCCAAGAGATCACCCCAACAAACCATTGTGGTTATGCAATCTCGCCCTCTTTTTGCTCCGTCGCTTTGAGCGACTGGGCCATATAGATGACCTTACCAAGTGTGTGATGATGCAGGAGGATGGTGTGTCCCTGACTCCCGATGATCACCCTGAGAAACCCTCGATGTTGAATAATCTTGGGTCTTTTCTGCTCACTCGCTTTGAGCACATGGAAGGAGGCATTGGCGACCTTAACAAGGCTGTGTTGATACACCAAGATAGTGTCCGCCTGACTCAGGATGGCCACCCTGAGAAACCCTCGAGGTTGCACAATCTCAGCATGGCTCTTCTCCGCCGCTTTGTGAGACTAGGCAGCCTCGAGGACATTGACAAGTCCATATTGACTGCTGAAGAGGCTGTCCGACTATCTCCGCAATCTCACCCCACGAAGGCAATGGCTTTGGACGGTCTTGGGATAACCCTAGTCACGCGGTTCAGGCACTCGGGGAACCCCGACGACCTCAGCAAAGCCTTATCTATGCTGCAGGCTGCTGTGGACCTGACATCAAAGGACCACTCAAGCAGGCCGGTGAGGCTGGACCACCTTGGCAGTTCTCTGCTCACCCGCTTTGAATACTCCGGAGATGTCAGTGACATCAACAAGTGTGTTGCGGTGCTTGAGGAGACGATCCATCTGACACCAGACGGCCACGTTGACAAGCCGGGACGGATGGGGAATCTCGGGATTGCCTTGCGCACTCGCTTCCAGCAATTCGGCGACCTTGCGGACCTCAACAAGTCGGTGTTGATCCAACAAGAGGCGGTTCGCTTGACACCAGAAAGTGACCTTGGTGGCAAAGCAATTGTATCCAAAAATCTCGCCAGTGCACTGCGCACTCGGTTTGAGCGACTGGGCGCGGTTGACGACCTCAATCAGTCGATCTCAATGTGTGAGAGCGTTGTTCGGCTGACCCCGAACGGTCACCCTGACAGAGCATCGAGATTGAACTTGCTTGGATATTCCCTGCTCACTCGCTTCGAGAAAACAGGGAACCTCAAGGACCTCGACAATTCTATCTTCTTCTGCAGAGATGCTGTTCAAATCACTCCAGACAGTCACCCCAACAAGCCAACTTGGTTGATCAATATGAGCAATGGCCTTTCCGGTCGCTTCAGGAGACTCAATAACCTCAGTGATCTGAACACTTCTGTATCACTGCGAGAAAATGCTGTCCGTCTCACTCCGGATGGCCACCCTGACAAGCCATTGTGGTTGTACAATCTCGCTGATACCATTTCTCTACGTTTTCAGCGGTTGCATGACCCACGGGATGTGGGTCAGATGATCCTTCACTACTCCGCTGCAGCACGTTCAACTACTGGACCTCCTAATGTCCGATTCAATGCTGCCTCATGGTGGGCGCGATGGGCCAGAAACACAGACCACCCATCAGTGCTGGAGGCATATAATTTTGCCCTGGAACTCCTTCCCGAACTCGCCTGGCTTGGGCTATCTATCAGCGACAGACACCATCAAATTTTGCAGGCAGGGACGTTGACGAGAGATGCAGCTGCTGCCGCTATTGCATCTGGTCAGCCTGAAAAGGCAGTGGAATGGCTTGAACAGGGCCGTTCGATTATTTGGGGACAATTACTTGAACTCCGTACTCCGGTCGATGCTCTTAAGGAATCCCACCCGGCCATGGCTGACCGGCTCATCCTACTATCTACCAAGCTGGAAGGTGTCTCCAGCGGTGAAAGCCAGTCTGGGACCCCGCCATCCCTTCAATCAATTGCAGGGCAATCTCACGTGTATGCCGAGAAACGAAATAAGCTATTAAAGGACATCCGAAAATTAGACGGCTTCCAAAGATTCCTACTGCCGAAGACAATGCACGAGCTTACAGAGGCCGCACCGAAAGGCCCCGTTATCATTCTGAACGTCACCTATTCCCGATGCGATGCTCTGATACTGATGCCTGGCCTGGGGGATGAAGTTATACATGTTCCACTCGCCAACTTCACATCCCGTGATGTTCAGGCGTTGGCAGAATCTTTGGGAACCATTCTTCATGACAAAGGGCGCAGCGACCGGCTTGTTGGGCGTCGTGAGGGCTATGTACCCCCAGAAGACACATTTTCACACATTCTGGCTGAACTCTGGGTGAGGGTTGCAAAGCCAGTCCTGAATGCCCTAGCCATTACAGTGAGTACTTGATGATATTGACGATGGCTATCTAATACATTTGACAGACTCCATCCAAGGAGGCGGCCGCACAGCGCATCTGGTGGTGCTTGACCGGCCCTTTGACTTTTCTCCCCATACATGCTGCGGGCATCTACGGAGAAAAAGAATTCTTTGGCTCGAAGCTTTCCGACTTTGTGGTATCCTCCTACACCCCATCTTTGACAGCCCTCATCCAGGGCTTCCGTCCGCAATCCGATGATCAGCCGGAATTGCAACTGCTGGCTGTTGCTCAACCATCCGCAACTGGCCAGCTGCATATTCCAGGGACTCGGAAAGAAATCAATAACCTTGAACAGCTTGCAAAAAGCAGCAAAATTCCCGTAATGCGCTTAGACGAGAATATGGCAACTGTGGAAAGTGTTCAGCGAGGCATGAAGGACTCACGATGGGTGCACTTTGCTTCCCACGGTGTGCAGGATCGCTCCGACCCCACTCAGAGTGCTCTGCTACTTGCCAGAAGTTCTCGTTTAACACTCGCAAAAATCATCCAGTTATCCCTCCCGCATGCCGATCTCGCATTCCTCTCTGCCTGCCAAACCGCTGCGGGGGATAAGAGCCTTCAAGAGGAGTCAGTCCATCTTGCAGCTGGCATGTTGTTAGCGGGGTACCGAGGTGTCATTGCAACGATGTGGACAATCATGGACAACGATGCACCACAGGTTGCAAGCGATGTTTATAGTCATCTCTTCAAGGCATCTCCCCCGGATCCAACTGGGGCGGCCGAGGCTTTGCATCTCGCCATTAGGAAACTTCGTGAGGGGTCGGGTGGGAATAAATCATTTTTCCATTGGGTGCCATTCATCCATGTGGGTGTTTAATATGACAACCGCGAGGCTAAGAAGTATCGTAGAATATCTTGTTTTGTTACACGTGTTATACTCCTTCTTGATCGTACGGGGACTGAAGTGTGGTGAATGATGGATGGCCCAGGGTGAATTTGATTATATCAGAGAACACACACCCATATGTGTGCCCCTTGGCCCGCCGTGGATGAGACTGGAGTAACGACCACGATTTCAAATAGTGAGTAGGAGAAAGGTACGTAGATATTCCTTCCTTCACCTCCCCATCGAACGAGGGCGACCTTCCCTGGTCCATGGCGGCGTATTTACCTCTTTGCATCCCTCGATAGGTTCGTATCTAAAATGCTTTCGTTCCCGCAGAGATGAGCCCAAGCTGCTCATAAGTACACAAGAGGACGGGGAGCAAAAAATCAATTGAACGACCGGATTCAGCGAGACACAAGTGGGGAAGGGAGATCTCCGCCTCTCTCTGGATGCAAGTTAAATTATGTATCGGGAGTAGGTGGAGGATATGGCTCAGCCTTTCTTTTGTACAGGATATACCTGGATTCTGGAACCAGAGAGTTTTGGTAATACTTGCAGGCAGTGTCCGACCCCACGTTGATACCCTGGGGTACGGTGCCATCCTGGTCTCTCCACAAGTAAAGCCCCGGGTTGGATAGAACAAAGGAGGTCTCCCAGGCTATTCGGACGCCGGAAGTCGAACCCGGGTTTCTCGCCGTTCATACAGTGCTGCCACAACATGAGCGGGCGTACACCCTGCACCACGTCCGAGTTATCTGTAATCTCCGGTATCAACCCATATTCATTTACGGCGAGCGCAGGGATGCAGACCACTGAAAGCTCATTCTGTTGGATGGGTCAGGATCTCTGTGAAGGATGTTTGATTTCAAATGAACTTTGCACCGAAATTAAAAAGCATCGAATGAAACAGACCTTGTTGTATGGGCTCGGAAGTTGCGCGGCGGCGTAACGCAAAATAACTATTTGAATGAGTTCCGCTGTGCGTATATTGTTAGCTCAAGTTCATATAAAACATAAGTATGGATAACCGTACCAACGGAAGAGTCGTCGCCGCCGAAGTAGTAGAGGATAAGTTTGAACGAACATTCCACTTCCGTGCCCTTTAGTTTCGTTGTGATATCAAGCGGGTCGATGCGGGAGTTGTCTGGGTCGAAGACGATGAATTCATGGATAGAATAGTCCTTTTTGATGCCTTCCAGTGCTTCACGATGCTCGACCGCCACGGGCCAAGTTGTTTTGTCCGTAGTGGGTTCTGTTAAGAGATTAGTGAACATCGGGGAGGACAATATAGTATGTGTTCACCGGTAGTTTTGTCCTCTTGACCAATACAATGAGATATGTATAGCTCATGAAACAGTCCATTGATTCAGTGTGATAATAGATTATGTGTATAAGATGTCAAGATTGAAGAATTATGGCCCAATGGAACAGGACGTTCTATTGAGCCCAATGATGTTGGATAGAGTACTTACCGCCAGAACGCTGTTGGAGGAAACAGGGAGCAGCGATCGTAGACCAGGAAAATCCGAAAATAAGAGTCGCAGGTAGGTAGGAAACGGAGATATCCGGTGCAGAACAACGCTATCGCGGACTGGAGGAGACACAGGGTACCGAGTTGGGAATTTCTGTTTGATGGACAGTTTTGCTGGGAAACATAGTAGACGGACCGAAATGTTTCAACAGACGACAGCCATGGGATCCAGTGAGATGCTTGATTATTGAGGATGCTGGAGGATATGTATCGTATCGGGAAGTCATAAACCGAGGACCAGAAGGCAGGGGATAAGCGAGTACGGACTGAACGAGAGGGGAGTGAATATTCGACGGCTAAGTAATTTTCCCACCTCGCCGCTGGTCAATATCGTTCTCGAACTGCACTTCCCTTTCTATTTAACTCCGTATGACGACGCATGACGGGGTTTCCTTGGCCCCCTTGTTCGCGTGAATCACTTGAATCGAGATGCTGCGCGAATACTAGGACGACCCTCTGCCCTGCGGATTCAACTACGCCGCGGTTTCACAGATGTGTCTGCGGAAGTTCAGGCGTCGAACTACGGAAATATTCAGAGAAGGCTGCGCACCCAAATAGAGGAGTAAATGGCCACACGAACGAGCACGCAGCATGAGAGACGAGGGAAAAGAGAATGGAGTTAAGCGCGAGATGGGGTTAAAGCCGCAACGTGAACCAACGAACGAGGAACATTTCGTTAGAGAACGGTTAATTACGTAATCGAGCTGGAGAAAGTCATCTCGTAGGGCCGCGCTTTTACTCACTCGCCATCCCGAAATAATGGGCGCTGAGCGCTGAGGCCTAGCCTTCGCCCCATCATCGAAGGCACTATGAAAACGATCATCCAAGTGATGATCGGAGTCCTCGAAGAAATTGGCGACGAAATGACTGATTTCACGGAAGGCTTCGACACATGCTGAGCCTTTGGCGATGATATATTCGGCTGACTCCATTTCCACTTGCGATGAAGACACGCTAAAAATCATGAGCACCAAAATATTTGCGCGGGAAGCACAGTGGCCCACCTTCACTCAATAATTGTTTTGTTCAAGATAGAGGTCGGCTGCGATGCTTCTAACAAATATTCCCCATCGATTATAGAACCAAGACTGCTCCCGAGCGATTCGCAGCGCATCGGGCATCTCGTACTTGCTCCGAATTAGGACCTCGACATATTCGCGGGCATAGTTTTGTTGCGCAGCTCGCCCGTATTTCAAACGCGGAGCAGAACCGCGAATTAATGTCCACAAAGATAAACTTCTGTTGGATTAAGAATGCCTGCATGTAATGTAAGTGTGCAATACACAGTGCATACGTTCGAGGACTCGCGCCTCCGCATCTTCGTGCCCCACCCACACGGGCCCACCTCACGCGCCGCGCACCGACTCCTACTCCTACGCCACGACCGGCGCCCCCGCCTCACGCTCCACCCTCCCCAAAATGCCGGCCACCACCTCCTCGAGGAACAGTACGTCATCATGCCCCGCGCCCTCCACCTCCTTCCACGCGTCCTCGTCCCCCGCACGGAGCAGCCCCTTATCCTCCAACACGCCCCGCAGCCACGCGCGCCCCTTGGCCGGCACCAGCCCGTCCGCCTTCCCATACACGACGCGTAGTCGCAGCGTGTCGTCGGGGTACAGCTCCGCCATACGCGCGAAGGCGTTCTGGAGGACGGCGGCGTCGGTGGGCCCGGCGCCGAGGCCCCAGACGCTGTCCTCCCCCGCGCCCACAGTATCCGTTGATCCAAGCGTGACAGTCTCGCCCCCATGCAGACAAAGCAGCGCCTCCTGCCCCATCGCGACGCGGCTTTCCGCCATCCCGCGGCGCATGATCTCCGCGCGGCACGCGCCCCCGACGTGACGGTGCATATACCCGCGCTTGTGCGCCGGCTTGCGCGTCTCATCGTCGTCTGCGCCCGCGCCGGCGCTGGAGAGGAGGCCCGCACTCGCGGACAGGAAGCCGCCGCTCCAGCTCGCCGCGCGCGCGAAGGGCGGGACGATCTGCAGGAGGGAGCCGAGCGCGCTGGGGAGCGACGCGGGGAGCGCGGCGGCGAAGCGCAGCGCCGCGGAGCCGCTGATGCTGGGCGGCACGAAGGGGCCAGTGAGCGTCCAGCTCGTCGCGGTGAGCGTAGGCGGGAGGTGCAGGAGGGTGTACAAAGCGTAGAAGAGGCCGTTGGAGTGCGAGAGGACGGCGAAGCACTGGGTGTGGGTGTGCGATAAAACGGCGAGGAGAGCGGCGTGCATCCAGCGGGTGCGCAGGGCGAGCGGGATGGGGACAGCGCTGGCGGAGCTGCCGCCGCCGGGCTTATCGAGGGTGAGGATCTGCACGCGGTGCGCGCGCGCGATGCCTTCGATCATGGCGGCGATGAAGCGGTGCCCGCCGAGGCCGTTGAAGAAGACGAGCACGGGCCATGCGGCGTCGGCGGGCGCGGAGGTGAGCGCGTAGGTCACGGTCGCCGTTGAGCTGGCTGCACCAGGAATCTGGAAGTCAAAGTCGAGGCTGTGGTTAAAGCGAGGCAGGGCGAGGTATGCGGTGGGATCCGCATCCAGCCCAGACGGGGCGTTGGGTTCTGCGGCCATGGCTCTCGACGTGTCCGTCTTGCAAGCGGGGCTTTATACGAGCCGCGTTCACTGCGGTCCCAAATGGGCGATGTGGTGGGACGCAGTAAAGGGATGTCCAGGGGCGATGCAGGCGATATCAGATGTCGGTTAGACGTCCACCAAGCAAGCTTTTGAGCCTCGCCAACGATGTACGGTGTCTACACTCATGGTGGAGGATCAGGGATACTGGTCTGGCGAAAAAAAGATGCCACGTACGCACCGCTCGACTATTCTCTCGAATTCCTAAGCAGACCCCTGGGAGCCCATCGTGCGCCTTGTCGAGGTCTGAGTCATCTGTGTGAGAGCTAGAATGTATGGCAGCGGTCGGGGACAGGTGGAACTCCGTAGTGAAGAAAAGACAGTCCTCGGCTCAACCGGACCGATTACCGACATGACTCAGCGACTGCCACCAAAAAACTTTTGAAAAGGTGAAGAAGGATAGATGGCATGAGGAATGGACAGACATTTCAAAAACGAGAGGGGTCTCCGATTTAATTCTCGACCGGGCTGTCCCACCAGGAGTAATGCGCAATTGAAGGTCGAAAAACAGGCTTCGCGAAGGTCAGCATTTGGACGTGGAAGTTGAGTAGCTGCTGGGCCGGGCTGTGGATGGAATCAGAGAGGGGATCCACAGGGATGGGGAAGGACTTACGAGAGCCGGAGCGAGGTTTACTCCGTTTCAAGGGAGGTCGATGCTAGGAATCTAGAATTGACATGAAAAAGTGTGAGATGGGGTCACAACATTAAAAAGAATAATGGATATCGAGAAGGTCGAAGGGACTGGTTGTCAGACAGAAGAGAAGAAGAGAAGAAGAGAAGAGAGCGCCATGGGCGTTTCAACAGCGTTAGCTGCGGGACCAAGGAAGTGGCGGGAGGGAAGATGAAGCAGAGAGCTCCGAAAGAATGAGGGTACGGGAAAGATGACTTTGACTAAGACCACGATGGAGACAAAATGGGACGGGGGGAATACAGAAGGAGACAGTAATGCGCACGTTAAGATTAGTAGCGTTCGGCCCGCCGGGCCGCCTCCGACTTGATATGTAGCACGTCTCGGATCTGCAAGGCAGGGAATAGAGTACATACACGAATGGTAGCATAGGCGTTCGTGAATGCCTACTGATGGCACCGAACGCCTATCGTGGAGTTCAATGCCTATTGCCGGTACGAACAGCTATTCATCCGCCGCGCATCATTTCTGATGCCAATGATGCGGCGACGGGAACCAGTGAACCACTGTCACGCTTCACCTCTTTCTCTCTCACCACGACCACGACTACCATTTCCCCCTGCCGCCCTCGACGCCTCCGACGCGCACGCGCTCAATCCGCCCCACGCTTCCTCAATGCTCTTAAACCGACCCGGAGCGCATCCACCCGGTCTTTTTCGTCTTTTCTACACCCCGTCTGCTGGTAGCTTCTTCCGATGCACACTGGGGATACACCAGGTTGAACGCCAGCGGGCCTCTTGTTCGTCCACCTTCTATTCCCTTCTACGTGTCCTCCCGTATGCGAGTCGGCTCGGCATGCGGCTCCGCCCCATTGTGCGGATCGGACAGTGACTGGCCATGAGCATGGTCGGCCCATCCCCTCGCGCTTGCACATCCCCGCCCCCGTGCAGCCCGTTCAGCGGGCCACGCATCA